CCCAGCATAGGGCCCCTCACAGAGAAGGCTAGGCAGAGCACGGGGCCTCAGTGCACAGGACAGACTCGCTCTCGCCCCAGCTACCGGCCAGCGCAGCCCTGCAAGCGCTGGGTACCTCACGCTTAGCTCCCCAAGCCACAGAGCACGAGACATTCGCCTGTATCCCCCACGCTGCAGTGAAGAGCACCCACAGTACGTGTCCAACGCCACGCGCATCATGGGGCGCACGGCACAGGCTTGTTACGGAGCAGAGACAGACCCTGATCACTGGAACTTAACTCTACAGTCCTCTACCAGGACTTGGTACTCTTAGAACAGCCAAAAAGATTTAAACTTCTAGTCTTTTGAATTAACTTTCAAAGATAAAATTATTTAGGCTACAAAGTGTTATTCTTATTGATAACTGATCATTTATTATCAATAATTCTTGTTTATTTATGTGCTGTCTATAGGCCCATGTCTTACCTGGCAGCTACAAAGGCGCCAATAATCATTGCAAATACAGTCATTTTAATACCCCAAGAAAAAGTCTTCCTACAAAACAAAATTAAAAATGTATACATGTGACTTTAGTTATTATATACTTATTTTACAACATAGGTTAAAAATCGTATATTTTCAAAAAAGATATAAACAACTATACTTTAAACATTTTCAAGAAACTAGGTATTTTTTTAAAAACACCTCCAATGAAGTAAAAACCCATTCTGTCACACCAATCCTATTTTTAATTCCTAATAGTTATAATCATTGAGTTGGAAGTTCTAAAGAGTGGGGTTTCTCTAGGAAGCAACAGTCAGACACCCGCAGTGAAATGCTCAGGACACTGTTCACACCCCACTCCGAGGGTTCTCCCCGCTCGCCCAGGGCAGCCACACACCCTGCCTCTGTAGAGAGGCACCTTGCGCAGCACAGAGGTCCCGCCCCGGCCCCCGTCGTGCCTCTCCTCCTGCACACCAGGATTCCCTCAGACAAGTCTGGGGGGGAGCGAGATGTGAGACACCACGCCTCACCCCGCTTCCTGGGGCTTCCGGCTGTCTAAAGAGCAGATAAGTTAGAAACAGAGCTCACTTGAGCAAAACCCCTTCTGCGAGCATCGTGAACAGAATGGAGAACCTTCTCAGAACGGTGAACATTGGCAAGCTGCAGAGAGAAAGAACAAAAACAGGCTAAATAACACTTAACAGTTTAATTTTTAAAACAAAGATTTTCCTAATTGGCAGTTTAAGATAATGTTAATCTCTTTCTTCCATTATGGAAATTCCATGCTGATTAACTGGGGTTAATATTAACCTCTCTCTAGAAATAGTTCTTACTTAAAAGCCTTTAAAAAGTTGCTTTTAAAAAACTACTGAAGATGAGAAACATCACAGTGACAGTCCTGGGGTACCCATCATGCATCTGCTGTCACAGAACAGCAGCACATCCTAACTTCACTTGGTGAACCACACACACGCACACACACTGCCTGCGTCAGCTCCCACTCCCTGCGCACCACACCAACCCCGCTCTCTGTACCATCGGAACACATTTCTAAACACGTCCCCTGCCGCGTTCCTCCACTGCATTTCAGCAGCAGTCTTTTTCTAAATTCTGGGAGCACTCTGCTTGCGCTAATCAAACGCCCAGCCTCCTGCAATCCAGTTATTTCTAAATACATCTCATCCCATCCTAAAACGCCTCCCACTTTGCTGGCCGTCACAGGTAGGGTGTGCGTGGATGGTGGATGGATGGACAGATGGATGACAATGGGTAAAATAAGCAGACTCTACAAGCAGCACTCTGAGCAGGCCTACATTTCTTCCCAGCGGGGGGATGAAGTGGCCAAAGGTGCCCCAACCCAATGAAAGGGACTTCCAGGTAAGTCACCCCAGGGGCAGCCCTGGACACTGTCAGTTTCTGGGTTCAGGGAGTAGGAAATAGGCAAGGCTAGGCCTCTGGGCTGGGGCTCCGCAGTGATCGCGTGTACCAGAGCTTCTGTTACACTGCATCCTCCGTGCGCAGCTGCCGTGTTACACACAGCAGGGCACCCCAGCAAAGGCCGGAGCACTACCTGGTGGGAGAGGGGGTGACAGCTGCCAGGGGCACCAGGCCACAGCTCTCCCCAGGGGCAAGTCCAAAAGGGCCACCAGGGAGGGACCCACACTGGTACTGTGGTTCCCAGTGATTTCAACTACTTCCCACTAAAAATGAACAAAAAACCAACCTGAAAGTTCTCGCGTCCATCCTATGGCTCTGTTATGGGAAATTTGCCTAAATCTAATATTTATGAAAGGCTTGAAATCCCAGAGGCCATCACTCTCTCACTACTGCAGGGCTGGCAGAATAATGAAAATCTCTTATCACAGCATTTTAAGACTTGCCACATTACAGTGAGGGGGAAAAAACAAAATAAGCCAAAAAACTACTCTTTCTTTTCAAAAGAACAGTTTAACCTAAAACCTTTGGAGCAACCTGCAGTATTTAGCGTTTAGCCAAAGTTTTCTGGTCATTTTGTTTTCCCCAGCATCAGTAACAATGCATTCATATTGAACATTATTAAATTACAACTTTAAGAATACATTATATTAACCTCACTAGTAAAATAAAGTTATCCATACTTCAGTCTCTTTGTGCTGAACAGTCCCGTGATTTGGTTCCCAAAATATAGGAGAGGTAGTGGAAACGTCTAGAAAATTTAAAAAGGGATAACAAAAACTCAATAACAAAAACAACTAAAACAAGGTCCCTACAAGCAAAGTTTTGTTTACATGATCAAATTCTTTCCATGCGAAATGTAAGGTTAGTCCCCGTAAACAACCTGACCCCCACGAAAACACCCACACATGAACTCTCTTGATGGGTGCTAAGCTGGCAGAGAGAAAGGGAAGAGGGGAGGGAAGGAAAGAAACAGAAAGGTGAATGTGATCGGCCAACGTGGGGCAGGCCCGCCCTTCGCTGTCAGATGCGACCCTGTGGCAGCCCACGGCTCCACAGGACCAGGGCCAGGGCCATGTCACCACCCTGCGGGTCAAGCACTTGCTGGCGGTGGAAGACGTTAATCAAACAGCAATGAGTGTGGCAGGACTGGTGAGGTTACACGGGGGAGAAACGCTGCGTTCCCAGCACGTAGGCAACCATTAGGAGGGCCCGAGGGGTCTTACGTCCTGAACTGCAGAGCGAGGGCCACTGCATTCGCTGCGCTCTCCATCCGAGCAGTCTAGACTGTGGGATGTCAAAGCCACAATTTCTAAACGTGCAAGGCAGCAAGCAAGTCCCTGACTGCGAGGCCTTTCCGTAAAATACAGCGCTGCTCTTCTGTATTTTCTTTCCTTTTACCTTCCGAGGTATACTTCTGTCCAAGTCCGGGAACTTGACCACTCGGAGCGCCTTGCCCGCCCACAGCACGGCCACGGTGGCCACCATCTGCGGACAGAGAACACAGGGGCACTGTCTGCGGCCGGGTCCGGGGACACCGAGGACACCGGGCAGCGCCAGGGCGCCCACTAACCTGGCCGAGCCCCACACACAGCGAGGAGGGAAACCTACAGAAAAGAGGAAAGAAAGAAAGAAGTCAGCCCCCAGGCACTGCTCTGGGGCTCAACGTACACACTACAAGCTATTTAAAATACCGTCCCCTGCAGGGTCGGGACGGAGCCCAGAGCCCTCAGCCACGCCTGGCGCTGGCTGACCTTCTCTCGCACAGGGTGTCGCGAAGTCGCCCGGCCGCGCCCCGGCTCGAGGCCCCCCTGCCTCGGCCTCCCGGAC